GTCATCAGAGCCGAAGTCATGGGCATTGACATCAGTAACCCATGGATGATTTTGGAGAACTAATGTAAGATCTGTTATCTCTTTCCACCAAAGGGAATAGCCAAAGTTTGCAAGAGTTTGAGCGATGACTTCTTTATCTTCTGCCTTAAATAACATTGCTGTGCAAAAATCTACCTTCTTTTCATTTGACCCTTTATTTGTAATTGTCTGCTTTACAACTGTATATAATAAATTTTTGTGATTTTCAATTTGAAGAGAGTAATCTAAATCTGTTACTTTTTCAATATTGCTTTCAACGCCATCAATTCTGACTTTTGTGGTCACATTTTCAACCAATTCTACATGCTTTCTGTTTTGATCAACATCAGTGAATCCGTAGGAGTATTTTCGATTGGAATGGCCAGAAACTGAGAGGGAAAATTGCACCAAGATAATGGAAAACATATTTAGAATAATGATTTTATGTTTTCTTAAGGAGTATTCAAAAATATAAAATAATTCAAAAATAATTGAGTGGATTCAAAACTGCCAAAGTAATGAATCGATAACATTTCCGAGAACTGAACTCTTTAATAAAATTTCAATAGTTTGAATCAAGTTATATTGTGTCACGATATGACGCTCAAATTTAAAATATTTCAGAATTTTGAGAAAGAATAAAAAATTAATAAGCTCTGCCAATGTTATTGGAAGCAAAAAACATGCTAGAAGCCTGCAACCTTTTGCATCTTTCCTTTTATAAATTCTATGTCTGTTCTTTGATTCAAATGATTAATATTTTTACGGGGGCGCGTAAAGGGTTGGCGTCCTAAGGCGTCCTGATGTAAACTATTCAATTTTTGAGAAGTTTACACCATAATTGAATAGTTTATGGCGTCCTGAGAGGAGATTTCAATGGGTATGGCGTCCTAAAAAAATAGAAGAAAATGATTTTTTCTCGATTTTTCTAGAAATTGAATTTTTAAAAAAAGAAAAAAATCAAAACGTATACATTCAAGAAAGACTATAAATGAAGATTTTTCTATTTTTTTCATTCTAAAACATCTGTTTTTGGATAATTTTTTTTTTAATAAATATGTAAGAAAGATTGAAGAAAAAGTAAATTTACTTTAAGAAAATTCGTTTTACATGATGTAAGACCCATAACAACTATAAATATTCAATTATTTAAAATAAAAAAAGAAAAACAGATTAAATGTATCTCACATCAAAATCCATTGACCTAAGGATGTTAAGTTTCTGTTTTTAAAAGTTGATATTTTTTTTTAATTTTAAGAAAATTAATAGCATGTTATTAGACAATAGGAGTGTAATGATATTGACTAAACAGAAATGAGAGAATAGAGATATAATTTTGATAAGCAATATTGCAAACAAATTCTGAAGTAAAATCGCGATCAATAATTGAAAATTACGATCATGTACTGAAAAATGACGATCGAATTGAATGAATAGAATTATATCTAAGAAAAAATAAATTGTATTTAGAAGATGAACAAAGAAAGGTGTATGCTAAAAATCATTTAACAATAAATGGAAATAAAACGAAATTGTTAAAAGAAAAAAATGAAAATTGTTAAATAATATTATTTTTTAGTCATAAGAATAAAAATATAGTAGTTATAAAAGGAATTAGACTTCATATATCAATTCTTTTTCTCTGTAGATGTGGAACGTTTGCTTTTCGATCTCTTTCGATGAACTTGAAAATATAAGTTATTATCGCTGAGAATCCTTTCCGAAATAGGAGCTTTACGTTTAGGAGGATTGTCGGATGAATTTTGTTTTTTATTGTTTGATTTTGTTGTTATGGAAGATTTTTTCTTATTTTTTTCAGAATTTTGCTTGCTATTAACTGAAACTTGTTTTGACGGCCCAACAATAGCATTTGTAGTAGGAAGAATTCCCAATAACGAGCGCATTTTCGATAATGTTTTTCAATATGATCAAGAAGGTCCAGCTTATGTTCTAGATTACTAGACATTTGATTTGTAGAAGGATGGTTTTGATTTTCTGGTTCTAAATCTGTAGAGTCTGCAATATTTGAATTTTCGGAGCGAATTGGAGCATCTGAACCTTGATTTGTATCGGCTTGCTCAAAATTAGTTTGAATTGGAGTGGATGAATTAAAATCTGGATGATTTAATGTTTCATTATTAAATAATGCCATAATTTTTTCTCTTTTTTCATTAATAAACTTAGTGATCATTGTATCTTTATTTGTTAGATCGATCGATTTGAGTATATCTGCATCATGAACTGGAATATTTTCGAACAATGAACTCGATTCTATGGAACCATATGGAGAAATCTCGTTCTGAGCCAAAGAAAGATCACTTACGTTGTATTGTTTGATAGAAAAAATTGTTTTCTCAAGTTCTTTTTGAAAGCAGTCAAGAATATAATTTTTGTAGCTATCAGTGATAACGGTTTTTATATGGCGCTCGATCTTCTGGTTATTTTTGATGGCGTTATATTTATCTAATTGGATTTGAGATATCTTCTTAATAGCTTCATAAATGTTTGGATGTTTTAACGAAGAAAATTCTGAATGCATACTCTCGAGGCAATCATTAGTGAATATTGCAGTTGCATTATTATATTGAGATATTAAATTGTAGTGCGGCAACCAAACTTTGTTGAAATAATCAATATAATCTTTGATCGAATCAACTTTATTTTGATTAATTATATGCATTGTAAGTACAAATTCTTCATGAGACATGAATGGAGTAATAGAATATAGCTTAAATAAAGAATTTTGTAAAGTATTGAAATTTTTTGTATAAAGTGCTACAAGTTTCCTGTGTAAAGCTTGTTTGAAATGAAATAGGCATCCAATTATACGGACTTTAGGGAAAATTTGTTGAAGTGCCTCTATCATTCCCTTTTCAAAATCACAATGAATTTGAATTAGCTTTGAAAATTGAATACCCTTGACAGTAAAAATATATTCAAATGCCTTCTTATAAGATTCAAATGTGCGGTTTTTCATGAATATAAATAAAAGTGGTAGATATTGATTTGTTGAAGGTTCACAAATCATAATTGTTAGCATCTGTCCTTTTTGAAAATGTTTTGGTGTAATTTTAAAAGTTCCATCGCAAAATAAATATGTGGCTTCTTTTGCAAATTGAATTGCCTTCTCAAAACCAAAAAAAACATCGTCTCACAATTTGCTTGAAAATCATGGCCAATGAAAAACTGCTCGCCATTTATTAAACAAAAATTAGCAATTTCATCGTCTGTAATTTTTTCTCCAACAGAAAATTTTCTGGACTTATTATAAACTTCCCTGACCAATGAATCTTTAATTAATGGGTTTTCATCAGTACCAACAGCAAGTTCTGTCATAAATTTTTTAATCTGCTGAAAAGTGCCGTTGTCTTCAGAAAATTTTGCCATTGCCTTATTGTATATTTCTTTCAGAGTCATTGATTTATGAAGATCATTTTTTTTCATTTTGTAACTTTTTAAATTGTCTGCATTCGGGTATATGTTCCTTTTGTAAATCTTCGGAAACTGAACTGTTCTCAATTTTAACTAAATAACGTGCTTGACAAGAATGATCGATGCAACGGTAGTAACGTTCAATATTATTTGAATTAATAATATTTGTATGATTATGCGAATAAAGCATATCTTTGCGAACAATTGTATCAGGATATTTTCCAGTAACTGCGGGAATATTTTTAACTGCAATATAACTAAAATATCTTCTGACAGCTTTAGATTCATTTTTGGCGTATTTAATATTAAAATATTGAAGAACTTGTTTGATTATATTCGTTTTTCATCTCTCGATGTTGATTTTTGGTATTTATCAGATTGTTCCCTGATAAATATTTTATTTTCGTCTGTAAAGTTTGCTCTTTTTTGATTAAATATAGATGATTTTCCCATTAAAAAATGAAATGATGCAAAATTTACGAAAACCGTTCGAAAATTGAATCATAAATGAAAAGTAATACTTAAATGAGGAATTCTTTGAGATATTGGTCTTAGATTGAATGTAGCGTCATTCTTATATAGAATATATATTCATATCATCGGAAATATGATAAAAAGCATATAATAAATGTCAAAAAAGTGAACAAATAAGCAAAGATATTTTTTAAAAAACAATGAAAAGTAATACTTAAATGAGGAATTCTTTGAGATATTGGTCTTAGATTGAATGTAGCGTCACAAATTTCACAAATATAATTTACTATACAATTTTATTCATTTTTTTAAAATGGCTGACGACAGTCTGTTAGGGATGCGTTAAACACGCCATTTGACCGGGCGTACATTTTTTTTTGTTCGCCCAAAAATTTCGCCATTTGAGAAATTCAAAAATTAAAAATAAAATTTTAATCCTGATTTTTTTATTTTCGTGATTTTTTTGAAACTTACATAACCGATGAAATACTTTTTTTAAGTAATCGTTTATTATATATAAATATATCTTAATAAATTTAATTCCTTAAGGTAGAGCGTGTTCAAATTTAAAATCTCATACAATATTTTCTTAATGGCGTATTTTTCTGAGGTCGCCCAAATAAAGGCGAATTCAAAATTGAGAACTCCAAGGCGTATGGCGAGTATTCAAAAAGTACGCCACTTACAAAATATTGAATGTGGATTATCAATTTTTTGGCGTGTTCAATTTCAAATTTTGATATTTATGTTTATTTTATTCAGTATAATGCTAAGAATTAAAATATAAAATTCATAGAATTTTTTCTTTGAAAATATTTTACATTTTTATTAGACCACTCCTAGACTAGTCATCAGGTTATCCTCAGATCATCCTCAGACTACTCCTTATCAGATTACTCATCATCCTCAGACTACTCCTTAGACCCCTCCTCATCAGACTCCTCCTCAGATCTTCCTCCTGAGACTACTCTTCAGACTACTCCTTAGAGTCCTCCTCATCAGACTAGTCCTGAGACTAGTCCTCAGACTACTCCTGAAACTACTCCTCAGATTATCCGCAGACTCCTCCTCAGATTATGCTCAGATTATCCTCAAACTCCTCAGATTATCCTCAAACTCCTCAGATTATCCTCAAACTCCTCAGACTACTCCTCGGTCTAATCCTCAGACTCCTCCTCAGATTATCCTCAAACTCCTCAGATTATCCTCAGACTCCTCAGACTACTCCTCGGTCTAATCCTCAGACTCCTCCTCAGATTATCCTCAAACTCCTCAGATTATCCTCAGACTCCTCAGATTATCCTCAGACTCCTCAGATTATCCTCAGACTCCTCAGATTATCCTCAGACTCCTCCTCAGATTATCCTCAGACTCCTCCTCAGATTATCCTCAAACTCCTCAGACTACTCCTCAAACTACTCCTCAAACTCCTCCTCAGATTATCCTCAAACTCCTCAGACTACTCCTCGGTCTAATCCTCAGACTCCTCCTCAGATTATCCTCAAACTCCTCAGACTACTCCTCGGTCTAATCCTCAGACTCCTCCTCAGATTATCCTCAAACTCCTCAGATTATCCTCAGACTCCTCAGATTATCCTCAGACTCCTCAGATTATCCTCAAACTCCTCAGACTACTCCTCAAACTCCTCAGACTACTCCTCAGACTCCTCAAATTATCCTCAGACAACTCCTGAAACTACTCCTCAGACAACTCCTCAGATTATCATCAAACTCCTCAGACTACTCCTCAACCTCCTCAGATTATCCTCAAACTCCTCAGACTACTCCTCAAACTCCTCAGATTATCCTCAAACTCATCAAATTATCCTCAAACTCCTCAAATTATCCTCAGACAACTCCTGAAACTACTCCTCAGACAACTCCTGAAACTACTCCTCAGACAACTCCTCGGTCTAATCCTCAAACTCCTCAGATTATCCTCAAACTCCTCAGACTACTCCTCAAACTCCTCAGATTATCATCAAACTCCTCAAACTACTCCTCGGTCTAATCCTCAGACTCCTCCTCAGATTATCCTCAGATTATCACTTTACATATATATATCGATAACTAAATAATTACTTATTATACTTTCTTTATTTTTTTTAATTTTAAAATAATATTAATATATCTTTCTACGTTTAATGATGAAAAGAGAAAGAGGAGTAAAAAGAGGAAAGAGAAAAGAAAGAGAGAGAGGGAAAAAAAGAGAAAGAAAGAAAAAAAGGACGGCGATAATTTTGTATTGTTTTGTTATTCGGCCGAATGGCGGGTACGAAGTACCCGCCATTCGGCCCCAAAAATGGCGTATTATTCTATTTTTAAACGGTCATGGCGTAAAACCGTCGCATCCCTAAGTCTGTATCAACTAACTCAATTAGTCAAGCATAATGATTATTCTTCGGATTCATTAAATCAACTTTATCAATGCATAAGTACAATGACAGAAAGATCAATCGGATGCTTGAATTGGGATAAATTTTTCAAAAAAATCAGAGTGACTGATGAAGTTCTTTTACATTTTTTAGCATCCGTTTTAAACATTGAAAAGATATCAGAATGTTTCAAGGATTCTATTTTTTATCATAATATTAATCTTGAAAAATTCAGTAATTTAACTGAAACAGAACAACAAACAATTTTAAATTCCTACAAAGCGGATAAATTTACATATTACATAATGTGCTCACAAATTGTAAAATCAAACTGGAACAATTTATCCCAAACTTTAGTTAATATTGCAAATCAATATTTGCCATTTTCAGATGAAGAAAAGCAAATATATATATTTACTGAAATAACTGGCAATTATCAAAATTTTGAAATTTCAGCTGCAAACTTGTTACTTTTTTATGAAAACAATGAAGAAAAATTAAGCAACTGTTTTAATTTAACATTGTTCCAGCAAATTTATTCCAAAAATGGAATCGAGCAAATGATATTTTTTGCTGCAAATACAATTTGTTGCAATAACACTTCTATCAATTTTTACAATCTCCTTGAAATTGAAGAAATGAATCCATTTGATTTTTTTTATTTCTCAATTCAATATAAAGAGATATTAAATTGCGATGATTTTCCAAAAGTTACAGAAGTAATCACAGGTTTAATCTCAGCTTCAAATATTAATGCTATTATGCGAATTTGCCAAAAAATTTTGGATAAAATTACATTTTATAAATGTAATTATTGCCATATTACCTCAATATGGAATTTTATTACAAATGCAGCAATAATTCTTCCTGATGAAGATTTATTAATCAAATTATTAAAATTCATAGAAAAAACAGAAAAAGCAACAGATGGATTATTCAAACCGGAGAATGATTTGGGTTTCTATGAATATTTAAATTCGATTTTCTCAGATATTACATCTGCGAGAAATAAGCAATTTCTCTTGGAATTTCTAAATACCCATGAAGATGACTTCACTTATGATCAAACATTGTGAGGTCATTTTTGATCAACAAATTAATTGAAATTCCGATCAAAAAAAATTCACAAATTGGATCAAAAAAATCGAATCTCAAGTTAAAAATAAAAAATTTCTACATTTTTATCAAATTTAGATTTTTTTTCAAATCATGCGAATTGATTGGATAATTGCATATTTTATCCCATGCATCTAGAAGTATGTGTAATATTTTTGCTTTCATCAAGAAATTGTCGAATTTGATCTTAATTTTTTTTGAAAAATATACTTTTAGAAAAAGAAATAGTGATTGAATAGCTGCCCATGCTGTAAAAGGGTTATTTTTACAAGTAAAAAAATTGTTATTTTTCGAGCAAGTCGAGGCTTTTTTACCATCTTATTTTTGAAAAATTTACGAAAAATTATATCTGAAAAAACGCTTCATTTTGATATCTTACAATGATAAAATACCAATGTTGCTGGGATATAATAACTACACCTGGACATCTACTACATTAATGCGTATGACATGTAAAGTTGATTTCAAAAGTATAGCCTGGAAAGATTACAATAAATCAACGATAATTCAAAAAAATTTCTTATAAGTTAACATAATAAAAATTTAATTTTTATATTGCTTGTATTATACTTAAGTATATAATATATTTAAATCTTAGAATGAAAATTCGGGACGCCCTAGCTATTCAATTTTCCCTTAGGACGCCCATAAACCTCTCAAAAATGTGATGTAAATATCACAATTTTGAGAAATTTACACTAGGACGCCTTAGGACGCCAACCCCCTTTTTACCTTTTTACGGTTATTCGATCCCCGACGATAGGTGTCTTGGAAGATTTGCCTGGTGTCATCATAGTGTCTTTAAATCAAAAATTTTATTTTGGAGTTAGTTTTATTGATTTTTCAATAAAAAACATTTCTAAAACAAGAAAATAAAACGATAAAATATTTATATTTTATATAAGGATCTTATATATTTAAAATAAATATCATTTTATTTTTTTCATTGGTGTCTGTCAAACCATAATACACTATTCAAAAATTCAATATGTCTTGCGGTTTCAAAAGACACCTTCAAATTGAACAATAGCACAGACACTATTGAATTTTACCCATTTTATTTAGTTTTTACCCTTTTTATTTTTAAGAATTAATGACTGAAACAGCCGTTTTGCTATGACCTCAATCACTTTTATTTATTATTTTAAATATTATTTAATTTTATTATTTGAATAGGCCAACTTATATTTGAGAAGCTCAATTTGAGACCACTTAATACATTGAAATATCATAAATATTGAAATATTAAAAAGTGTATTTCAAAATATTGAAATTATCAAAATTTATAATACTGAAATTGAGACAAATTAATAAATTCAATGTGTTTTTTTTGAAATAACTCTCAAATATTATTTTTTTGTTTATTTAATGATGAATAAATATGATTGCTTTAGTCAATCATAAAAACTGATTTAAGTTTAAAATAATGAAAGGATAATTTGATCATTTTTTAAAATACAATTTTTTGATGATTTGCAAGAATCTTTGAAAAGAATATAATATAGGTTCTATTTTTGTAAAATTTATCCAAATCATGTATTACATAAATTACGATTAAAACGATGAAAGAACCAAAAAGTGTGTTTTGTGTTTTGTTGTTGCGTGTTGGATGCGGGATCCTGTTATTTCCGAAATCGACAAAAAATTTGGAAATTTAATTTCCGAAATCGAAATTATATTAATTTTTAATATTCTTATATCAAAAGGATTAAAGTTCATTAAGAGAAAAACAATTCTTCTTCTTCAATCTATTGGCGCATTTATTTCTACACGCCAATAAGGAAGGGAAAATTATAAGACACCATGGTGTCTTCAAAACGCTAATTTTTGAAAAAAAAAAAAAAAAAAAGGTAGTGGGGCTTCCAGGCACTTCGTGCCTTCTAGCCCTGAAGATGTTTAGTATAAATGAAGTTCTTATATACGGGTCTTCCAGGAGCTTTTCACAAATTATATATGTTTTCATGGTTTGTCAAGACTTCTTCGTAATGAGTGTAAAGGACCCAAAAATAATGTTTAGGGTAGAAGGTTAGATCTAACCTCTTTTCTAACCTCTTTTCTACCCTCTTGAATTTTCAAGACTTCTTCGTAAATGTTTTGTCAAGACTTCTTCGTAATGAGTGTAAAGGACCCAAAAATATAATTTAGGGTAGAAGGTTAGATCTAACCTGTTTTCTAACCTCATTTCTACCCTCTTGAATTTGTCAAGACTTCTTCGTACATGTTTTGTCAAGACTTCTTCGTAATGAGTGTAAAGGACCCAAAAATATAATTTAGGTGAAGAGGTGAGATCTCACCTGTTTTCTCACCTCTTGAATTTGTCAAGACTTCTTCGTAAATGTTTTGTCACTTTTCTGTCACTTTTCGGGTAAAAACATTTTTATTATTATATATAAATGAATTTTACAAAACCACCGTTACCGTTCTTTGGAAATAAGAGTAAATGTAAAGATATTATATTGAGAGAACTTAAGAAACTACCGAATGGTCTAACATTTGTAGATTTGTTCGGTGGAAGTTTCTATATATCCCATTTGTGCCATATAATATTCCCAGACTCAAAGATTATATGCAATGACTTCGACAACTATATGGACCGTCTCAAACATATACCAGACACAAACAATATATTGAAAGAGTTAAAAGAAAAGATACCTATAGGTAAGATGGAACGTATACCATTAGATAACAAAAATATTGTGAGAGAGGTTTTGAAAAAAGCAGAATATATAGACTGGGATAGTATATCTGCTAGACTATTATATAGTGGTTCTATAAGAGTTCATGACATTGAAACACTTATGTCAAAAGTTTTATATCTTAACTATACAAATGTTTTCAAAGAGAACATAGAAAAATATATTGAGGGTATAGAGTTTGTGAGATGTCATTGGACAGAGTTGTATGAAAAATAAAGTTTAGGTGAAGAGGTGAGATCTCACCTGTTTTCTCACC